AATTTAAAAAAAAATGCAAGCAATTCAAACGCACGACCTACGGGCTTAATAAGATTTCCTAAACTAGTGGTTCAACCAATGTGAATCCTCTGAGGTTCACTTGGAATTACATCACTTCCTTTGGTTAGCCAGGTAAGTGGTGGGGATGTGAAAGGCTCCCCTTGCTCTTGCAAGGACCTAATTAAGTAACCACAAAACCCGGTTACGCGTAGCCGTTTAACCTTTTTCCTTAGACACCAACTGCCGGTTATGGAAAGTAATTACAAGCTTCCCTAAAATTCAGCACACCTTTGAACCAAGTGTGAGGCTCCCTAAAGGATCTTGCTATCCAAATTTTAAATTAGGATTAAGGTGAACTGCACGTGAAGGGTGGTGATTTTTGGGCCAAGGAAGGGTGATGAAATCCTCACCTTATCTTATTTAAGTCGGATGCCCTTAAAATGGATTAACAGAAAGACAAAATAAACACAACAAATGCAACTAATTACAATGCATGGAAAATTATTTCTAAAGTGCAATTCAACAATATAACATAAAATAATAAAGCAAAAGGAACAATTAAAATAAAAAGAAAACCTAACACATTCACAACTAGCAATGATAATTTAGCAATTAAATAAACCTATACGATGCATTCTCTAGAATATGAAACCCTAAATGTTGGGATGCAAATGCAAAACTTTTACAATATTAATTAAAAATTTTTAATTTTATTTATTTATTTTAATTCAAAATTTTAAATTTAAATTTAGAAATTTGAAATTCAGATTCGAATTAAAATTCAAATTCGAAATTTAAACTCAAATTCAAAAATTTAAACAATTTCCTATTTAATGATTAATTATTCAATTAAATAACTAAAAAAAGAGAATTAAATAAGGTAACAAATAATTATAACAAACAAAAAATAAAAGAAATAATTGTACTAAAAACATTAACAACTACCAAAATAAATTCTAAGAAAATTCCTATTCTAAAAATTAAACCGAAAATAAAGTAAATAAAAGAAAATTATGCGGCAATAAATAAAATAAAATAAACAATTTTTTCTATTTTTTTATCTAAAATAAAAGAAAAATATAAACCTAATAAGATAGAAATTCGAACAAGGAATTAAAATAAAGAAATAAAAATAGATCTAGAAACAAAACGAAAGAAAAATAATACTAAAAAAAATTAATCGGATCTAGAAAAAAATTAATTAAAAATTCGAAAATCACTATTCTACAAAAAAAAAGAGTTTGAAAATAAAAACAAAAAATCAAAAACAAAATGGGACGACTACACCTGAAACGCAATCCAATTTCTCTTTCTTCTCTTCTCTCCCATAGTCCCGCAATGCTCCAGTACCCCACCTTTCGCTATTACATCCTACAAAATCGAAGAGAAATAAGAATTAAAATGAGATAACGGATCAAGTAATAAAACGAAAATAAAAAAATAATGAAACAGATCCGAACAAAGCAAATAAAATTTTTTCTTGCTTCCCCAGCAACGACGCCAAAAACTTGATGTTAGCGGAAAGCATGTCGTTAACCACTTCGAAACACCAATTTAATTTATAAAATTTTTCCGTTTCTCAAACAAATACAAACGCAATAAATGGGTGAGAACGGGTCGTATCCACAGAGAAGCAAGGAAAAAACCGTTACGTACTTAGATCCGGGAAAGAGGATACAATTAGGAATTATAGAAAATAAGAAAATAAAATTTATTAATACTGAAATTAAAGGTTCAGAATTAAACAAGACAATAACTAAAATTCAGAAATTAACAGAGTACTGAAATTAACAAGAGAAATAAATAAAAGTGATCCGAAATTCGGATATAGTAGCRGTAGCTACAAATTGGCCGGACAGCTTGCAGGAACCCCTCCTGACAAGAACTGGGTGTCCTTCCCCTCTTCCTCCCTCGAACCCCTCGAGACACCTTAGCCTTGAACTAGACGAATTTAGATTTGCAAAACTGAGAAACAAACAGGAATTAAATCTAAAAGAGTGCTGAAATAAAAATAACGGAAAAAAAATGAAGAAAAGAAAAAGACGGTTGATCAGATCTAGCAGCAATAGTTGTAGACTGGTTGAACAGCTTGTAGGAACCCCTCCTGACAAGAACTGGGTGTCCCTCCCCTTCTGCAACCCTTGAACTCCTCAAGAAACCTTAGCCTTGTGAGTTGGGTGAATTAACCAACCCCTTCTCTAGGGCCCTTGGGGTCCTTTTTATAGAGAATGGTGGATATAACTAGAATTAGAGAGAAAGAGAGGGGCAGCAGTAGGGTTTTTTTTTGTAGAAATATGGGTGCCCTAGGGTTTAGAATGGAGGGTTAGGATTGTTCTAAGGTGATCCTAACGCTGAGAAGAAAAGGAAAGGGTAGCCAATATTATGTAGGGCTGAGATTTAATGGCTAAAAGTTGAATGGTGAGGATTAGAAGTTAGGTGGCTCCCTAGGGTTAGAATGCTAAAAAGAGAGTGCCCTAGAATGAGTGGTGGAGATTAGAAGGGATGGAAGGTAGGGATTTAGCAGTTAGGGGCGGCTAGGGTTTGTTAAAGATGAAAAGAATGAGTGGAGAGGTGCCCTAGGGTTTTCTAAGGAGAGGGGAGTATGCTAATATAGTAGGAGGGGCACCATTCTGGGTTTAGCAGATAGGAGGCACCCTCCTGTGCTCAGTTTTTCACAAAAACACCCTATCTCTCAGTTGGACTTCACACCAGTTTCCCAAAAATTGCATTTCAACCATGAAACCTCCCCAGTTTTCCACAATATTTGCATAGAGACCCTCAGAGGTCACAATATTGAATTTAACTAGAAAAATGGTACATTTTGACTATTCTAAGGCCTAAAATACCCCTGAAAATGCTGCCCTTAAGGCATCAAAATACAAAGTTATCAGCGTCGGCCCTGGAATGGGCGTTGCAACGGTCGAAGCGCCCGACTTTGTCCCAGGTGTTGTCCCTTCTGCGATGGTGGTGCTGCTCGGAGGGCTGGCGACTGTCTTCGAACGCCGTTGGTTCTTCCTTCCCTCGGCTGGGAGGCCTTTCGTTCCTTCGAGGTGGGCTGAGGGGTCGGCTGTTGCCCAACTTAGAAGGCTCGTTCCACCAAGTATCAGCTCGGCCAAGGGCTGGTAGTTCGGCTTGGTTATGCTGGCAGGGCGATCGCCTTAGGAGAGACCTCTTGCCTGGGGGCATACTTGCTCCACGCGCTGTGCTAAGTATTCCAGACGCTTGAGGACCGCCTGGAACTGCTCATTTGTAACTAGGTTCTATGTGTTCCTAGCTCTTTGTACCATGGTGCTTGAAGCTGGGGAGGTTTTTAGTTCTTAATGCTTTAGGGGATCGTCTTAGCAATGCTTCCTGTAGACGGCGCCAATTGTTGCTACCCGGATTGGCCAAGGGCAACAAGGTAAAAACACTCCCAAGCTCTGAAGGTTAGCCGAAGTCTTTGAGGGGTTCAAAGGAGGTGTGTCGAGGCCGAGAGCCGTAGGCCGAGGCGGATCATCTTTGAATACTATAGAAGCTGAGGGCTTATAGCCGAGGGCTGGTGGTTAAGTGGTGAAATCCCTAGTAGTCTGAGGTCCTGCAAGATAGTTGATGTCAAAGGCCCCGGGTGAGAACCCGAGGCAAAGGCACCTACGGTTTAGTACAGGGTTGAAGAAGAGAGGGATCTAGTGCAGACGAGGGCTCTGAAGAGGGTGCTCCTACGCACTAGACTCCAGGAGGAAAGGTCCTTCACTTAAGCTTTCAGTTAGAGATGGCGTTAGGGAATCCTCTACCTAGAGAGGGGTACCCCGTATTTATACTTAAACTACCTAGAGGTTGGTGGAGATGGACATCCGTGATGAGCTCCATACGAGGGTGGCCAGTGGGAGAAGCGGGGATGCTAGGGTGTTCCGCTATTGGCTCTATACGAGGGGAGCAGGATAGGCCCCGCCGTGCTGGACCAGGATCCTAGTTGGCGTCCGTGGGCTAGGCCCTCTAGCCCGTAATGGGCTGGGCTAGGTTACCCTACATTAGTAGTTATATTTTTTTCTTCTTTCTCTCTTTCTTCAGAATTCTAATCTTTTTTATAAAAAAATCAAGTTGATTTATTTTACTATTTTTAATTTTCTATATCATTTTCATTTATTGGTTAATATTTTGTATTTATTTTACAATGTTTAATTATTTTATTAAAATGGTTGTAATATTTAATCATCCTTAATAGTATATTTAATATTTTTATTTATTGGTTAAGAATTGTTTTGGTATTTTGTGCTTTTTCAATAATAAAGGCAAAATTTTGTTTTACATTATATTTGATAATATTAATTTTTATTAGTATAATTATATTATTAATATTATTATACTTTGTACCTACTCTGATATTATTTTTCATAATACTGTATGATCTTTATTATTTTTTTAATTTTTTATTATTTTTATAATATTAATCTTTTAAATATTATTGTTGGTCTTTTTATTATTTGTTTACTATTTTATTGTATTAGTCATTTTCATTTATTTTTGTTTAAAAGACAACTTGAGGGGTAAATATGTAAAATACACCATTTTTAGATGTTACAACATTCAGATTTCTAAACAACTCCACTATATTCAGATGTCTGCAAAAGCAAAAAGACAAATTTTCCACTGAATGCGTTCAAAGCCTTTTTGGATGTTGTTTTGCTTTTCAAACTTCGGATTTCAGACTTACCAAACGCCCCTTGAGTCAATGATTTTTTATAATATGTGGGTTAGAGATGAATTCTGATTTGCTCCTCCTAGAGCGTGACTCATATCATCCTCAGAACACATTGCAGCCATGCGTTGGGAACATTATCTTCCCATGAATGATAATTTACAAATAGGGAGAAGTTCTTTTTTTCAATGTACAGTTTTAAGTGATTGTGGGATTGATGTGAGGCATGCTCTATAAGGAGCAAATCCGAATTCGTCAGAGGTTGATTCAAAGAGAGATTGTGAAATGTCTGACTGGCCAAGTAAATGACAGGTTAAAAACATTGATCTTAACTTGAAACTAGAGTTTCTCAAGGGTAAATTGAAGATAAAAAAGGGTAAATTGAAGATAAAAAATCACCTCGCTAGTCGGCAATTTAAGGTTATGTACTTATGTTTTCGATTACATCACCATGGCAAATTATCAGTATTGGTCTGGATTAGGATTGATAGATGAATATGGAGATGAAGTCCCATCACATAATGCAGCTGATGAGGCACCACGTTGGAATGACATGATTGAAGGATGACCTTAAGCTGGAAATATCCATCCATCGAGTAGGAGAGCAGCACAGCGCCTGCGAATTGCAAACAAATAAAGAAGCTCGTAGAGTAATACTGGACAGCAATAAGCGCCATAGTGGTAAAGGGATTTGAATAAATGTCATGTACTGTAAGAACACCACCAGATACACCTGGAGAGCAATAGTGGAGAATGGAGATGGAACTGGGAAGTTCTCAATGGAGATGTAGGGAAAAGAAGATGACCCATTAAAGGGAAGATGCTAAAATGAAAGAGAGACTTTGTTAGTGAAGTGGTGAAGTCATTTACCTTGTATTAACAAGGACACTGCCCTTTATGCACTCGGGTAGAATCATCCGGAGCACAAGCTCCTACATTCAGACAAATCATCAAACAGTAAGTGATCAGTCACTGTTTTAGGAGGAATGTGATGCACCATGCATGTATCAGTAGTGGAGTGTGACCCCCTTAAAAATTTCGTTAGATAATTGAAAATAGAAGCATACATGAACCACCTAGGAGGGGGAGATTAGGCGCATTCTCACCCTGCAACTGCAAGCTCTCAAGTCCCCCATCTACGTGTCATGCAACAAAGGGCTTGAGGCAGTGCTTAGATGCCTAGAATGAATAAAGCTGATGGGGCTAGGATGACCGTAACACTACTGGGCATTGGCAGCTCCATGGCCATAGGCTCCGTGTGAGGCATTCCGCATTCATCCCATCAACCTTCGACTTTTGTCGAATAGTTTTGGTGCTAATAATGGTTGCTTGGTGGGTGCTTACGATGGAACCCTTTAATTTTCAACCTGCTTGCTTGTCAAACTAATATATCCAAACGCTGAACGATTGGTGACAAGAGAAAATGGCCCAAAAAGAGCTACAGGGGCCATCTTCATTCAGCTTTTTTATGAGATGTGTAGTCTAGTGGAGGCACAGGTTGCCGGCAGAGATGAGTCATGACCATAAAGATTTACTAAGGCACACGCCACTATATTACTGCAACTTATGTGATATACATGGACGAAATGACAAGCAAATCATTTGAAAATGAGGCTAAGCTTTGGCTGAGGCCTCAGTGGAGCCCAAACAAGCCTAATAGTGTGGGTGGATACTGTACTCAAGCCAAACCAACACAGACAGAATTAACTACTGATCGATCCATCCCAAGTTTGTGCTTCAATTGAGGAATTAGCTAGAGCACCGGATTTAGCTCAGGTCTTAAGGACCTTGGATTCACTCGTGCACTTTGCTTCTAAGCTTGCAATGATTCTAAGGCTCGGTTTGTATTTGTACCCTTCCCAAAATGAGTCAGGGTTTGTGTTGTTTGTGGGGTGGCAAATGGGTGGGATGGGTTAGGTTGGGTAAGAATTGAATACCATCCAACCCATATTGACCCACCAACCCACCATGACCCGTCATCAGTGCTTATTAAAGGGTCATAACCCACCCTAACCCTGGGTCACCTTAACCCACCCATATTGACCCTTACCCACCCTATAAATACAGAAACGGGTTGGGTCAAACCGTATACTCAAAAAACAACTTTTGAGAGAACAAACTCTCTCAAGTCTACCACATGTTATAAACGGGCCAGGTCAACCCGTATAGCCGAAAATAACATTTTTAAGAGAATCATCTCTCAAGGCCGCCACATGACAGAAACGAGTCGACCAACCCGAATACTAAAAAATAACATTTTTGAGAGAATAATCTCTACCAAGGCTACCACATGGAAAAAATAGGTCGAGTCGACCTGTATACACGAAAATGCAAAAAATACCAAAATAATTATAGAAAATGCAAAAAATACTAGAAAAATTGCAGAAAATGCAAAAACGAAAAAAATATTGCAGAAAAGTTAGAAAAAATATGGAAAATACCAGAAAATTTGAAAAAATATCAAAAATTGCAAAAATTTTGTAGAAAAAATGCAGAAAATACCAAAAAATTGAAAAAATGCATGAAAACACTAGAAAAATGCAGAAGTTATGTAGAAAAAGTTGCAGGAAATTCAAAAAATATAGAAAAATAATAGAAAATTGTAAAAGATGTAGAAAATACCAGAAAAATTGCAAAAATATAGAAAAAAATATAAAAATTTGCAAAACAATTGTAGAAATAATGCAGAAAATACCAAAAAATTGCAAAAATGCATGAAAACACTAGAAAAATGCAGAAATTATGTAGAAAAGTTGCAGAAAATTCAAAAAATATAGAAAAATAATAGAAAATTGTAAAAGATACAGAAAATACCAGAAATTGCAGAAAATAGCAGAAGGTGCAAAAAATGCATAACTTTTGTAGAAATTTGCAAAAAAATACTAGAAAATTACAAAAAACGCAGAAAAATACTAGAAAATTGTAGAAAATACAGAAACTTGCAGGAAATGCAAAAAAAACCATAAAATTGAAAAAATAATGCAGATAATACAAGAAAATTACAAAAACAATGCACTAAATATAATAAAGTTTCAAAAAAATACCAAAAAATTGCAGAAAATAACATAAAATATCAAAAAATTGCCAAATTATCCATAAAAATGCCAGAAAATTATAAAAATGCAGATAATAACAAAAAAGTGCAGAAATGAAAAAAAAATGCATCTTTTATAGAAAAAATCAGAAAATTGCAAAAAAAAACCAAAAAAATGTATAAAATGCATGATAACACCAAAAAACATGAAAACATACCAATAAAGCATGGCAAAAAATGGTAGGAGGAAGGCTCAACCTTTACTCAAAAACCTCCGACCTAAATAGAGACTTTCGGATTACTAAAGCTAAGGATTAAAGTATCAGTATCAAGTATCGGGTATTATATCGGATAATATGGATACAGATACACTTTGGAAATGCATGGATATGGATAAAAAATATGGAAATGTATGGACATGCTAGGGAAATACATAAAAATTTTATAAATACATTAATAACACTAAATTTAAGATCAAAATAATCACAAAATAGTATATAAATACATGGAAAATGTAAAATGATATATAAGAAGAAATATATTACAATTAGTATATTGGGATGCATAAGTATCATATAATTTTATTTATAATGGATCAATCAAGATTCCAAGAAACTAAATATATGCACCTATTATATTTTAATTATTATATCAATTATTATTTATTTTACTATTTTAATTTTTTTTAAATTAACAAAAAATTAACTCAAATTAAAATATGAATTAAAAATTTATAAAAATATAATTTTAACTTAGAGTGTATCAATTTTGTTAAAATTTCTATGGCACATATCATATACAAATTCATAGTTTTTAATTACTAAAACAATTATTCCATTATTAATATTTTTATTTCTATAACTTTAATGAAATAAAAATCATTTCTTGAAATAAATGTAGACTAGTGCATGTGATAGATTCAATTTAATATTATATTCTTCAATACTTTTGTGTATAATATTTTTATTTTTTGTAAATAATAAATATTTTGTTATTACTTATTAATGTAAATTAAAATATTAGTTAATAATATATAAAAATTTTAAGATTTATATCATGTGTGAATTTATAAATTTTAAGTATTAAATAATTATTTTATTATTAATATTCTATTTGTATAAATTTTTTTGATATTAAAATCATCTTTTTATATAAATGTATATCTGATAGATTATTTATTCTATTAGTTTAAGAAATAATATTTTTTAATTTTTAATTAGAGTTGTTACATATAAATATTTGTTTTTTGTTTAAATTGCATGTGAACACAAAAGCTAATAAAATCATTTGTATATTATTTTTAATCACAAAATTGCATTTGGCTTGGTGGTTTGAAATGGAAGGAGAATGTTAATGTGCTAGGTGGACTCGAGTTTGTGTCTCATCAAACGCATTTTTTATTTTGAGGCTTGGTGAAATCGTCGACCCAACCTTTGACCCCCTTGGCCCAACCCATCCTGACCCTAATGGGTAACTCGACCCAACCCACCCTAACCCTTTTTCACTAACCCTAATGGGTTGCTCGACCCATATTGACCCACCAATAGAATGGGTGAGTATGGGTGGGTTGGGTGGGCCAAATGAGTTGGGGTCAAGATTGTCAGCCCTAGTTTGTAGTGCAAAATTCTTATGCATTGATGTACATTCATGGGGTCAAGATTGTCATATTTACTTATAAGAAGTAAAATGATGTAGTTCCAACCTTATATGAAAGAGAATGGTGGTAAAGGGATGATTATTTGTAGAGTGAGGTATGAAGCAAGGTGATATATAGTCCCAAAAAATTGAGATAGGAGGAAAGTGGTGCAAATTTTACAAACAATCTAGTCGAGGTTTTATATGCATATGTATCTTAAGTGGGTAGATTTGAGTTCACATCTCCGCCCCACAATGTCCCACAATACATCCCCGTCGTGTATTGGGAACACCTTCCGATGATGACATCATTGGTTCTGGTATATCATCGGGAGATGTTCCCAATACACGGTGGGGATGTGCTGTGGGACGTTGTGAGGCGGAGATGTGAACTGATAAATTTGAGTTACATGCTTGCAAGTTGCACTTGCAGAACTAAGAATGCTTTGCGGCTTACACCCTTCTCAGTAGAGCATGAAGATAAAGGTTAGTTTGCCATGAAGAACCTGAAATCTGGTTAATTTAACAACCTACAGCACACCTCAAACAATGGGCAAGCTTGATATTTGATATGCATTTTTTCTGTACAATGTGGGACTCAATCCCAACATAAATCATTTCTATGAAACCAAGGCTTAATTAGGAAAACCCACTAAAGAGGGGTATGTCTAGACTCTCTGAATTGGTTTCATATTTTAATTATGAGGTGGAGGAATCTATAAAATACCAATACCCATCACACACACAAAAGAAAAAAAAAAAGAAAGAAAAAGAAAGAAAAAAAAAAGATAAACAAGAAAGAAACCAATTACCCCAGCCCTAGCTCCAGTGGGCTGGATTTGATGACCCATTTGCAACAAAGACCCACCTGTGCTTTCAGATTTCAGCACTTTTCCCCTCTTAGACAATAAGCTCGACAATAAAAGTAAAATTTCTGAAATGCCCATTTGAAATCTGATGGACTGGGAGAAGAAATATAATGCATATAATCTTAGCATTTTTTTTTGTATTTTCCACTTTTTTTCTTAGATAACAATCCTAGCATTTTTGTTGTATTTTCTCAAATTCCTTTCTACTTTTACTTTTTTTGGTTTTTGCAAATTTTAATCTTCTTCTATCTTTTTTTCTTTTTTTCTTGATTTTTGGTAATTTTCTACATTTCTTTTATTTTCTTTATTTTAATGTATTTTATTATAATTTTTTGTGATATGAACTCATAAAATGATATAAGAGCATTTTGGGGATTTAAAAATTTTTAAAGAGTATATGATCTTTTCCGAAGTTAACTGAAGGCTAAAGAGTATATGATCTTTTCCCAACCTCAACCTGTAAGGCTGTAACCCTAACCAAGTATCACTACCCAAAAGTACAAAGTGACCCATTCAGAATGCATTAAAAAGTAAGAAAAATATATTTAATTTCCATACCAATCTGCTAAACTGTCTAACACATTTGGCTTACATCAGAAAGGTAAATAATAATGGCCAGAACCAGTAAAGTAAGATGAGACTGAAAAGCAGAAAGAATGAGATGATGAATATAGGGAATGAATTCCTACCAATATAGTTAAGATGTCACTAGCGGATGGATTGAAAAGATGACTCAAAAGCATGGTGGAACTAGAATCATTTGGAGAGCAATATTGAAAGGATGCAAGCAGGGACAGCAGTAAGCGCTGACATGGGCAAGCAGGAGAACCGAAAGGACATGGACGGAATGTACTGTAAAGACAATTGAAGACACTAGAGCAAAGAAGCAATAGAAACAGAACCTTTCTGGAAAAGGATAGAAGGCCCAATAAAGGAAGAATGGCAAGAGATAATGTCAACAAGTCATCTCTTTCTTTTATGATTCCAGGAAAATCAGGTAAAAAGGCAAGGTGGCTTTGGCATTTATGCACCCAATAAGTAGAATCTTTTTAGGGCACGAGCTGGTGCATCCAGATCAATCAAGTACAATATATTATCTTTGAGCCACTAAACTAGGAGGAATGTAAGGAATCCCAGTACCGCAGTGTTCGAGTCCCATTAGCATAAAGGCTGCATCACGCGTCGACGAGTAGCCGAGTAGAAGTGTTTGGTCATGGCCACCTCGAAATTTCATCAAACAGTTGAAAGGTAAAAAATAAGGTTGGCAACTTTAGCCTTTCTTATCCTTGAATATAGACATGAAACAGAGCCACTCTCTGGTCATAATAAAATATGAAGATGATGTAAGAGTAGAGTGGACACAAACCTTTGTCTACCGGTACCCTATCAAAACCAACTCAACCCTTAGAAGTAAATTCAATCCAAGCTTCTGTCTCTTTGACTTTTTATAACATTAACGATAAGGTTTTGTAAATTAACAATTTCCATCACAAACTTGAATAAAAAAAATGAAAATGAGACGTAAGACATTCTCTTCTTCTTCCTCTTTTGTTTATCTGCTCGCTAGCTCTTTCTTTTCTATTTTTTTTTTTTTTTGAGTTCTACCGTGACGCAGGAAACACATAATACTAGAAAAATTAATAACCAATCAACGGATCATAAAAGTAGTGTTCAATCAGACGGGTTTTCATCAAAATTAAAGAGAGTTGTGATTGGTCAAAGCTAAGTATCATTTATATCATAGATTTTCTTTTTTTTTTATTCATCTTTGGTGAGTTGAAATATATTAAGGCTCGGTTTGAAAAGGAATACAAATCTAAATATATATAGTATAAATACATACAAAATAATACAAAATACAAGGTTTTGCATTCTACATATATGTATTTATACTCCTTCCAAATTGAGCCTAAGTGATTTAGGTCACAGAATAATTGATTTTTCAATAGGCTACACATCAAGGGTAGCCCATCCCCCATATTATACTCGACCAGAAATATCTGCTACATATGCCGTTGGTGTGGCCATAGTTAAAACTGTATATCACCGCCCCTCATGTCTTGTTGTCTTCCACCTTGAATCATGGAGGCTAAGTTTGGGAGTACTTAAAAATTAGGTATTTATTTTGTGCAAGCACCACATCAATAAAACACTTATTTGCATTTGAGAAATAAGCTTGAATAAGTGCTTATTCTCAAGAAACCTAAATTTTGGGCTTATATTTAAGTGATTATTTCTTTTGGCCTATCACATCATTTTAAAAATACCTATACTACCCCTATTTGAAATAAGTACAAATAAATACATTGAAACCCATGATTTTCAGAGTTCTAGCCCAAGGCTATGCCATTGGGGTTAGGGGATTTCACCTCCAATACTCAGTACTCAATAATTAGGGGTGAGCATGGATTGGTTCAATTTGGTTCCAAGGCAAAACCTGGTAGGTTCCAAGTTTCTAGAACTAGAGACAAGCATATCAAGACTAGTTGCAGGGTTGATTTTAACCTTGGTAATTCCAAGGTCTACCCATTTGAACCTGTTTTTTCTTTACCCCCATCTTAAATAAAATAAAATGAAATGTGTTCTTTATAGACTTGATTTTCAATAATAATAATATAGTTCAAAACTTTTCATTATGTTTTGTAAATATTACCTTTTATATTACTTGTTAKATACGCATATTAAATTGACAAAAAATGGCCAAATCACTTAAGTAACTCAATGGTCAAGTGAGACCATGGCCTTTTTATTTGTTCCAACTTCCAAGGGTTGAATGCACCTTGCCCCTGCTAATTTTGCCAGAAAAGGGTGTTTTGGCCACAAATCCCAATTTTTAGCATTTTTATAAATAAAAAAATTAAAAACAGAAATATAAATTAAACATAAAACTGAACTGATTAACCAACTGATTTGGTTTGACTTTGGTTTTACACTTTGCAAAAACTGAAGGTGCCAATTCAGTTTAAAAAAATGTGTCCACCCAAACTGTTAGCACCCCTAGCTACCTAGTTCAATGAATTAGCAGTTGTGATTCCTCTCCATTTTTGGCTATTTTTGAGAGTTTATTGTTAAAATTTATAAAATTTTGTGCAAGCTTTTATTTTGAAATTTAATTACCTACTATTAACCATTTAACCTACTCTATATTTTTTGTATTTAAAATATTCTGAAATTATTTTAGGCAAAACAAGTGGCTGAAATCATGAAACCTCGTACATAACTCTCAAGTTTTCATTCAAATAAATCAACCAGATATATTTGTGGCTTTGTCCAAAACAATTTGGGGAAGTTTCACTAACATTAAAATTAAGGGTATGTTCTTTTGCTCTTAATACCTCTTATCTCTTAATTACTTTAAGAGGTATTAAGAGTATTCAGTTCTCATTTTGTTGTTAGACTTGATGTGTACATCATGTATAGTAGCAATAATGCTCAATTTTGTTTTCCAAAAATACCCCCAAAAGGTTTCTCTTTTTATGCATGCTATGAATACCTTATAGAATAATAATAATAATAATAATACACAAAATAATAAAATATTGATAATTAAGTAGTTTTTAAAAATGATCATTTAAATAGTTAATACTAATTACTTAATTATCTAATTATATAATTATTAATGAAATAATACTTAGAAATTAATATTATTTTATTCATTATATATGTATTATTTAATTGCCTATTTCATTATTTGATTTCTCTATTAATTAATTATTTTATTATTTTATTATCATTTAATTAATTGTTACTTAATTTGTTAAATAGTTAAACAAACTTTTCATGTCCAAGGTTAAAATGATTATTTGTTATTTTTCAGAATTCAATGTTCTGATTTAAGAACAACATTGTTTGCATTCAGACTTCAGAACCAAGAAAAGTTCATCAACTCGAATACACCTCTTAAAGTAATTATTACTTCAGAAATCAATGCAAAACAAATAGGCCCTAACTCAACAAAAGATTTTACAATCTTATGTACAGTCTAGCGGCCTTGAACCAATTTGGCAATCAATTACACAGCAGACATTTTAGCGTTGGATGAGGTGTATAAAAATGATTGTATACGTTAAAATTCAATTTGAGTGCACCAATAAAGGGCCATTTTTGTCTGCAATTCATAATTTGCCACATCGCTTTGAGTTTGAACTACATTTTGACTTTGGACGTCAGGAAACATAAGTTTTCGTAAAAGCAAAATAAAAATTTTAGATATGAAGATCTTGAATATGGGACCTGCCTGCCACAATTGTTCGCACCCTCTCACGTTTCTCTCATGTCCCATCTTCATCACCTACATTTTACTTTTTTGTTTCAATTTAATCTCTCTCTCTCTGTATAAGGCAATCAACAAAATAAATTGGAGGGTGGGTTTATAAACAGATTTGTGAGCAGTAGATCCCAAGTCGAATTTCTTCTATATGGTGGATAACGAAATCACTGGAGCCTATTGATCTCAGCCAATCAGTGTCCACAAGAAGTAGCTGGCCGGCCAGGGTTTGTGAAGCAACGGCAAGAGAAGAACGAAGTGAAACCTTCTTTGTTGGATTGAGGGTTTAAATACCACCAGCCAAAATGAAAGATTGTAACTGATAGTGAGGGTTTCAAGAGAGAGAGAGAGGTCTCGAATAAGGCAAAAGAAGGATATTACAATTTAGTTTCTTTAATTTTTAATAAATTATAAAAAAAAAGAAAAGAAAAAGACAAAAGCCAGGGAGACAACCCTTAAACAAGTTTCATCCCATTTATTATTGTGACCCCAGTCAAAATTTTCTCTTGTGACCCTTCAATAAAACTCATTGTTGTTGACATTTAATTTAAAACACCACATCAATTGAATTTTTCCTTTTTCTTTATTTAAAAAGTTGATGTATTTGTATTTCATTGCGGTCACATGTGATCATGGTCATAGCACGGTGCTCTCGGCTGGGAATGGCAACCGAGCGTTTGGGGCGGGGATCATATGCCCCAACTCTGACATCGATTCTGAAATTAACCCGATCCTCGTCCCTGATTTTCATTGGGGATAAAATTTGTCTTCCATTCATGATTTTCAACAGGGATGGATTTTTCATGGGGACCTGAATCTTCAAAATATTTTTAAATAATAATATTTTTTTGAAAAATAAATAAAATTTTTAAATTATGAATAATGTTTTAAATATGCTTTGATATATATAATGCTTATATAAATAACATTTAGTGTATATAAATATATAACCGGGGTCGGGGTGAGGAGGGGACCTCAATCTCCATCCCCTACCAAAACAATCCCCATACCCAACCCCATTAGGTTGAAGAAGTTGGGTCCCCTTCTGGGATGGAGAAAATTGTCATCCCTATTGTCAAGTGTCAGCTGAATGTGGGGTGCTATTATTGGTTAATTAACAGCCATCAAGGAGCTCAAATCTCCTGCCCACACCAATCCACATGACACTAAAGCTGTACATTGGGAAGATCCTCCCGTTTACATGCTACCAATGTAGAGCTATAGTAATAGTGTCCTGTGGGTAGGAGACTAGTATTTCATTTCATGGGTGTCCTCAATTAGGGCAACCAACCATAGCAAAGATAAAATCTAAGCAAACTTCAGAGATAAAATGGAAACTCTATTATTCATGCTTCAACGGAACTCAAGGTACATTGGATCATGAAACTGTGAAAGTGAGGCCTAATAATTAGCACGTTTCCATCGACGGACTAAGTCCATCTCCATACAATATAAAAGACCAAAACCTCTAAAACAGCTCCGACTTTCAAACCGCTGAGGCAGAAACTAAGCTAGTTCTGAGCTACTGGGATCTTTGTTGACATCCCCATCACAGCAAAACCTCCATTGTGTTCACCATTGATTGATTTAGCACCATCCGTCGAGGCAACAGGTAGCTCGAGGGCTTGACCCTTCTCGTTAGTTAATTCCGACGAGACAAGATGATCCTTGCTTTTACCCCAGACAACAGAGTAGAGGCCGATCACTATGACAAGAGCCCCAATGACGCTGAAAGAAATGAAAAACAAATAAGTAAACAGTCAAGGCCTGACATGAAGAGAAAATGTGAGTTACTGCCATGCAAAAGAATCTTTATCCGCCCGTCTCCCTTTGATAGAGATTGAATGAATTACAGGTTTTATACCTTCCAAGGTGGAGCTGCTCGCCTAATATCAAGGACCCCAAAGCAGCAACAATGATCATGCATAGAGGGTTGAAGGCAGTCACAAAGACGGGACCTCGTTCCTTTATCACCACTCCTTGCACGTAGTATGCCACACCTGAGCATATGACTCCCTGCACCCAAATTTAASAGCTAAGATGGAGAACTGAGAGAGAGAGAGAGAGAGGCCAACCACATACCCAACTTTTGTGGTTTCTATAAGAGAATTCAATTAAGAACAGAGATGTTCAAGAAGAGAAAATAATAATGAATGAGAATATCCCCTTTAAAGGTTGCAACCAAACACTCCATAAAAATTTCTCCATGCTAATTTTTTCAAGAAAGTTCTCTTTTATATTTGTTTTTTGAAGTCTGGTTATTGTCAAGAAAAAGAAAACTCAACTTTGGTGATTTCCTCAACCACCACAACTTTTTTCATTTTCTCAATATGGATGGTTTCCTCTTTTAATATAAAAAAAGTATTTGTTTGGTAACTATTTAAAGAATAATAATAAGAGTGGGAGGAAGTGGGAGCTACAGGTACGCACACAGCGGTCCGCCCTCATAAAAGAAGAAATTGTGTGAAAACTTTTCTTGGCAACCAAACAAATCTTGAGAGAAAAATGAAACAAAGTGCATCTCCTTCTTTTCCCTGTAGTTTCTTTCTTTATTTTTTGGGGTGGGATTTCCTTGGAAAGCAAAGGGACAAGGGAGCATATTTATCCACTTAATTAATGAATCTACTATTCGGCCACTTTATAGGGATAATTGAAACTCCACTTACCGTATAGACAGCAGCAAGGAGCCTAGAGTCCCAACCCACAGCCCAAGCAGCAGGGTTACGTTCCATGACAAGTGCCACAGCTGCACCTTGCATCGTTCCCATGAAGCATATCAAAGAGGTGAGAGAGAGCTCTGCTGGGTATTGCTTTAGAGTGAACGACTGTTCCACCAGAACACAATGAAATCAGTTAGCTACGTACTAATATCTGAAAACATGATGATTAGCTCCATTGAGATGACCAGAACTCACTTGCAATATGAAGAAACTGGCCCAACCAGTGCAACTGCCCAAGAGCATCAATGTCCCTACGACCCAATGTTGGCCACTGGAGCTGCTGCTGTCTTCATGATGGCTTCCACCCCGTGACAGTCCCAGGTTTAGGATGGGGCCTTTGTACAACGTCATGGCCATGGCTCCCGCAAGGGTCACTACAGTTCCAATAATCTTAGCTTGACTGTGTAGGTTCTTTATCTTTACTTTCTCTAACCTGGTAGGCAACCATATTAGTCACTTAACAATTCTTACAAACCCTCAGAGTGGATTTTTTACAAACACGTGGATGACAAACATGGTTTAATTCCCTATACAACTAACCTACTTTATCAAGTGGCTGGTTAGTCATTCTTTTGAAGTAAATATTTGTGAAAAGAGTTCCCCCTAAAAAATTAGGTTGAAAAGATGCTTTTGGTTTTGAGCTTTGAGCTGTGAAAAAGTCTAAATTGGGCTAAATAGTATCTTGTGTGTTTCTTAAGAATTGCTTTTGAAATCATTGTTATCTGAACTCAAAGCATTTTTAAGTCCCAAATTGGGGCTTTGTGCTTTTCGACTTGAAAAGCATAATTCTTGAAGCTTATCTAAATATAACCTAAATTATTCATCTAAGTGTCGTGTTTGAACTAGGGCTTTTAATAGTGGTTGACATGTATGACAAAATAAGGTGGGATATAGGTGTAATAGATTCCAATCTAAAGAATAGAAATATTCGAATATGGGGCCCTTCAATACATCACCACCCTTCTTTTTACAACATGTTGCAATAGTAGTATCAGAGTACGGTAATACAGCTAAAAATCCTCTAAGGAAGAGAGGCGTATCAAAAACAAAGTAGTTTGATCAGAAAAAGTAAATTGATTATAAGAACATTCTCTACATTATCTTTATTGATAAATTATTTTTCAAGCCAATTAAAGCCACTTTTAGATTTTAATATTATTTTCTTTCCAAAGCTGATCCTTCTGTTTTTCATATTTAGATTTCAATCTAGGTAGAGAGCATTACCATTCCTCTGATCATCACAACCAGCATTCACTAAATTAAAATAATCTTAACAATGGACCCATGTGTTCTCCACATTGTCCTTTATTCATGGGGAGAATTTTAGCCTTAGACCTCTGCCAAACACTTTTTTTAAGTCCTTTAGTAAGAGTCTTTTAAAAGAAATATATGTGGCTTGAAAATGGCTTGAATTTGATGTACTAAATACATCTTGGTCGAGGATCTGCTCTCCACATCTTCTTCCACGCAGCAGAAACAAATGGGGTCATCTAGAGAAGAAACCTGATGCTGTGTTTGTTTTGATAAAAAATTAAAAACAGAGAGTTGAGGAAAAGTTATTATGAAATTTTGTGAAATTATTTAAGAACTTTCTCTCAATTTTCTATTTCTTACTTATCATCCTTTATGTAGTAATATGTCGTCCATGGAGTAGAAGACAAAATTAGCCTACAAGGATACAAGAATATACATGGGCCCAAACCCTTGTTTTTCCTTTAGSATACCACCCTATTATTAGGAGCACTATCTGAAAATTATTGGGAGGACACCCCAATCTTAGGAAATTTCATTTGTGCTTCATTCATGAGAAGCAATACATATAATATAAGAATAGAAGTTGGTATATTCCATTAGAGACGTGTCAGGCAATAATGGGCCTACCACCATCCATCTATATATATATATATATATATCAAAAGAATACCTCTGATTCTTCTGGGGAGTCTGGTGGTGAGCTCTCTTTAATAAATTTTACTTAGTTTTTAATTTCTAGTAGTAGTGCACTAACCAAGATTATAATGGAGATGATCTGTCTTACCTAAAGATGATTGCCATTATAAAGGTAATGGCAGGGAGAACATTGAACATGGCGGATGAAAACGTTGCTGATGTATACCTCATCCCCACGTAGTACAGATTTTGATCAAGCACTGGCCTGGAGAAAAAGAATCAGAATTGTTAGACCTTCAGGAAGGTTTTACTTTATTATTATGTGTGATGGACCCAACGAATTTATACAGTGTTCTGTTAATCAATGGATCTTGTCCTTCTGATTCGGTGGTTATTATCCTGTTCGTGTATATTGGAATGAGATCATTCCAGGTTTTTATGAAACTGGACTCATCTGGGTTTTTCTTGGGGCTACCTGAAATGAGTTAACCCATTCCAGGTGATGAGTCTATGGATTCAAAAGCAAAATGAGGATGGAATTCCTTGTGTATGGTCTCGCCATCTAAGGTGAGTCTGGGTTCAGGTTAATATTACAAAAGAAAAGGCTGAAAAATCATTCTTGACATGGAAGAAGTGTTTCTAGCAGTGAAAGTGGGAGTGCAGTATGTTGGTCCAATGGCTAAGAATAACGCCAACTTTTGTATATATATATATATATATATATATCCAAACAGCTCTCACATGGAGCTCAGTTGTGGAGTTGTATGTTATGGGTTGGGACACATGCATGGTAAGTAACAGTAAGGAGGTCCATGATCTCAGGTCCAATAATAGACAATTGATTTCAGTTTATTTGTGTATAAGGATTAGAGATTCGAGCAATACTCGAGGAAGCCTAGCACCATTATCTTCAGGAAGACAGAGAGTGTCATCTTTGGTCTGATTTTCCTGGAAACACAGAAGCAAGTTATAGTTAATTAAAGAAAACAACAGAGAGAGAGAGAGAGAGAGAGAGAGAGAGACCTTTCAAAATACAAGGCAAAGGGAGCGATGGCAAGAGTAGCAGTTCCATTGCGGTAGACAACAAGTACGTAGTGATTCAAGCCACGCTTCAAGCAAAGCATGGTTATGATATACATCCCAGCAAAACCAAATTGCAGGGAGACCATAGCCACGAAAGGTTTCGCCTTATAGAAGATATTACACAACAACCCAATTGGACCTTGGCTTCCCATCTCTCTGTCTCTCTGAGTACTAGCTCTCTCCCCACCTAGCTCTTGCTCTCACTTACACACAAATCTGCGCTCCTGAATGAGCAGATGTCCTTCTTATATATACAAGCAAAGAACACAGAGAGAACTATTTCGTCACAACACTTGTACAAATCCATGTCATCCACTCTCCTTAGATTCTCTTATCCAATAGCAAAAAACACCCATTCCCCAAACAGTAAGCATCGTTGCTCTGGTGACAGGTTCGAAGAAGAAGAAAAGCTGAAGTGATTTTCTTGGAATAAAAATTCTGCATTTCTTTTTCTTTTCCTTGCTGAGTGGGAGATATTGGAAACTTGCCGCGATACATTGACCCCTAATGAGGTTAGGATTTAGTGCTGTCTGATGATGTATGCAGTATTTGTGGTGGTTTGTGAAGGTTGGTGGTTTGAGAGGGGGATGGGGACAAGGCTCAACCAAAGCAAGTGGGTGCGCTCATCTTTGGAATCCAACGCCGTTGCCTGGGTCTTGACTATCCAACCGTCACCAGAAGCTACACAATCACAAAAGGCAAAATGGGTGCGCTTGAACAAACCATTTTTTTATACCTGAGGGAAAGTTATTCAATTGTATATTCATGCATAGCTTGTGGCTGAGAACTAATTAATACAACGTGTACCTTCCATACCGTATGTGTATATTATCYCAAGTTATCTCTCCCTCTCAGAGACTACCTAAGCTTCCATGATATATAAATATGTGTGAATGACAGAGAGTAATTGGTTATATTTTTCTATAAGCATCTCTTACATTCGCCATGCAGTCCAATAGAAAACAGAAAGAAAGGAAGAGACCCCAACAGATTTGCAGTGTTCAAATGATCTAATATATAAGAATTTGATTGATCAAAAGGGGGGTGGAAGAAAGGTCAAAATTTGAAAATGCCCAATTATATAGTTAGAATGCTAAATTAAAGTTTAGGGGAAATGACCATAACAGAAGAAAAAGGGCACCGTTTGATGTCTTGGACTGGAAAAAAAGACGAGAGGAGTTATGAAAAAGGAGAGTATGTTTACCAGACGACTCATTGAGGGAGCCCACATACTTAGATGGGCCTGGAATCTTACATGTGGCAACATGATTAGAGAGGCCCAAATGTATAGCATGTGTTCGATCGGTGTTCCCCCTCCATGGCCTTAATTCGTAGGGCATGTTTCAGGAAGAAAGCCCACCAAGGTCGTCCGTTTAATTTTATTCTTCTTTGGAAACTCTCACATGGTTAACATCACTTGTGAAAAGATACAATGAATCGTTATGGCTGAGGGAAAAGAATCGATGGCCTATCTGGGGGACCCATCACCCATGGGTGATCCAAATTGGCTGTTTCACCTCTCCAGAGTCCAGAACAAAGTGTTGAAATTACTCAATTAGGCCTTGTTTGTGAAAAAAAGAAGCTTAGATGATGCTCAACTGATTTCCCAGAAACACCAAGAAAAAACTGAAATCTACCAAAGTATAAAAATGTGATATTTTCCTAACTCTGAGACCCAGTAAAACCAAAAATCCAATTAGTTAATTGTCCATTGAAGATGCATTAATTTTTTTTTTTTTTTTTTTTTTTTTGTGCACAACTTTACGTTGAAAGAGATGGAAGCTTTACTTTGTATATATTAAAACTTAGAGTTCATAGATATTAAATTAAATATTAAGAATAAGGTTTATAGTATATGGATCAAACAAAGGTTTACGGAGCAACATTGCTATTTTAAGCGGATTCCAAACCCATTGGCTCAAAGAAAAGGACTTTCACCAAGGCTGTATTTGGTTGGACAGAAAATAGAAGAGAAACAGAAAGTTGAGTGGAAGTTCTTGAGAAATTTCCCAAATTTTGTTAAGAACTCTACCTGAACTTTGTGTTTTTCTCTTATTTTCTAACAAACCAAACATTAATTAGCCTACGAGAAGGGGTGCTCCCAATTAATGGAACAGGGATTCGGATTAGGGGTGTAAACGAAGCGAATTTGAATCGAATCAGGCTTGATTCGAATTCGAAACCGGTTAAATAAATGCATATTCGAATTCGATTCGATATCCGGCGGTTTCTTAAAGCAATACATTGAATTCAAATTCGTCTAAATAATCGAATATTCAAATTCGATTCAAATTCGAAATGCATTTTTAACACCAACTTCTTCACCAGGGGAAGAAGAAACCTGGTTTGACGTTTTTTCATTCCCTATCGATCTAATACTCAAGTTGCAATGGATCAAAAGAGAAGAAGTTGCGAAGAATAAATGTTGCAGAATAAGAACCAATGAGGCGAGGAAGAAGAAAGATGAATAGTAAATTGAAAGTGATTGAAATGAAAAATACAGAATAATTAATGAGATGCAGGCATTTTGATAAAAAAATACTAAAATATTACTTTGTTTATTCCAAAAATCATCATAGCATCTCCACCGGTTCAATTGTTTTATTATTAAAATATAACAAGTATTAAAATATTATTTTATTTGACTGAAAATCATCATAGCGTTTTTGTCTTCATTCAATTCTTTATTATAAAAATAAGGGAAAAGTACGAGCAGACCCATTGCAGAAATCTGAACACCAGGCCAGCCCATACAGAATTTACAATGACTCTCGAATTCAACTTTTGAAATTATAAGACCAATTCCCACGCCATGTAAGCGTCACACTTCTACCTATGCTTTTCCTGTGAGGTGGCAATCCAAATCGGATTACGTGTCACAATAACATTTATTTAAAATTTTATTTTGAAATTTACCCTTAAATTGCAAAGACTAAAATGACCCTGTTAGGGCCCACGGCCATTGTTCTCTCCCGCCCTCCCTATTTTATCTTTCGTTCTCTCACACTCTCAACTCTCTTCTCTTCGACTGCAACTTTTCCCTCGACGACTGAACTTCGGTTGCTCTCCCTCCTCTCTCACTATCTTTCGTTGTTCTCACAGTCTCAACTCTCTTCTCTTTGGCTGCTTCCTTGCAACGGTAAGTTCTCCTCCCCAGTGGCGCCCTTCGTTCTCACTCTCATTTTCTCCTCCCTCACTCCCCCTGTCTCCAGTTCTCAGTCTCTCTTGCTCTCACTTTCTTCTGTTCTCACTATCCCTTTTTYACACTCTCATTTTCTCCTCCCTCGCCCCCCTCAGTCTTGCTCTCCCTTTGTTGCGCCCTCACCCTCTCCTTCTATCAGTCTCTCTCACTCTCGCTTTCTACCATTCTCTCTCTCCCTCTCTCCCACTCTCCCTCCCTCTCGCTATCACTTTCTCCCGTTCTCCCTCTCTCCGGTTCTCCCTTCTTGCTCTCACTCTATAACTCTCTCCCATTTCCCTCTGTCTCGCCCCCATTCTCTCTCTCTCTCCCGGTCCCCCTCCCCATCTATCGCTCTCCTGCTCTCCCTCTGTCTCGTTGTCCCTCTTCCTCTATCGCCCCCACTTTCTCCTATTCTCGCTATCCCTTTTTCAMACTCTCATTTTCTCCTCCCTTGCCCCCCTCAGTCTTGCTCTCCCTTTGTTGCGCCCTCACCCTCTCCCTCTATCAGTCTCTCTCGCTATCACTTTCTCCCGTTCTCCCTCTGTCTCGCTCTCCCTCTCTCATGTTCTACCTCCTCGCTCTCACTCTATAACTCTCTCCCGTTCTACCTCTATCTCGTCCCCATTCTCTCTCTCTCTCCCGGTCTCCCTCTCCATCTATCGCTCTCCTGCTCTCCCTTTGTCTCGTTGTCCCTCTACCTGCAAATTTTCAAGTAGCATTGTTGCTTTTTTCACTTCTATTCCTGTCTCAATATATACCAGGTGAAGACCCATCTTAACCATTTTTGTTTCTTGGACAGCATTTGTCACTGCTCCATCATTTTGTTTGCCTTATCCATCAGACTAAAGTTTTGGCCAATACATTGAGGCCTTCCCTAACCGGAGGAAGTTATCATTTTGAACACTTGTGCCACTAACAGGTATTTGACAATTTCTTTGTATGATAGTATAATTTGTTGTAGTCAATCAAAAAGTCCTTTCAAATAAATTTGATTTTTTGTTCTCTTTGCATTACTATCACAGTAAATAGGTTATTTTTATATAAAAAATTTTGTTAAGTTGTGTTTGATGTTAATTCATTCCTGTTGAATGTGAATAGGAGAACGAGTGTACATTAGTTTACACATGGAAAAGAAGATCAAGCAAGAGTGTGTTTGTAAAATTTCTTCTATGGAAGGTCAATTTACTTTAGTTATGAAAATGTCTCTCCAAAATTAAGATGATAGTTTAGTGATAATCACTCATAACAAACATTAATAATCACATATTGTTTTGTTATAGACTCTAGGAGGGTGTTTGCCTTCTCAGCATGCTATTCAAATTCCTCTTATAAAGGGCCAAATTGAGTTAATGAGAAACACTAATTTGTAATTTGAATGTCCTCCAATCAAAGAAACCTGAATTTGTTTACCTAAGGTGAGAATTCTGGCTAAAATTAAAATAGTAATTAAAAGTGATGTTGATATAACTTAAGAGGGAATAATAACCTTATAACCTTAATATGGAAGGACGCTAAAGTAATTACAACGAATGACAGCAATAAGCATGGAATAAAGCAAACAAACATGTTTTGAATAGAGGAAAAGAAATTTATGATAAAAATAAATTTATAACAAATAGGCAGTAACTGTGGAACAAAGCAAATCAGTGGAAAAAAAATTAAACAAACAAAAGTTCGAGAATAAAACATAAGTTAATTCCATCACACCATTCATAACCTATTGTCATTCCAAAACCACAACCAAAGAGTGTGAAGCAAAATGAAGATAAGTTATAGATTGRGATTGAAGACACATTAGCATGAAAATCCAGAAAATTGAGATATGTGACTGATGAAAAACAAAGGTTAAGAATCTCCTCAACCCAAACCTTACCATCCCCATGGGATACAGAGAACTAAATAAGGGAGAGTACTGCAATGTATATTACACTGAATTGAATCCTGGTTTTCGTATTCCAGACATAAGTTCTTATCCAACCATCCAATAAAGGGACTTTACCTTACAATGATCCCAAGGATTGGCATTCTAGAATTAAGTCCTAATCTTTGGCAGTT